CAGAATTCTGACTTTTTTCTCAGAATTCTGACTTTAAGCTCAGAATTCTGAGAAAAAAGTCAGAATTCTGAGATTAAAGTCAGAATTCTGACTTTTGTCCCATATTATACTGAAATAAAATAAAAAAAATCAGTTAACTTTTTTTTTTTTTTCAGTGGCCCTAATCCTCTTCCGTAGTTATACAATGACCGGATTATTTTATTTTATTTATTCTGGATGGAACTGCTGCTCTCTTCTTTTCTAGTTCATCTATGAAGGCAGAGATGATCTGCTTGGAGTGAGGAAGGATGTCATTGTTTTTCCTTTCCGTCTGCTTCGTTTACCTTCACTAGACTTTGTCTAACGATCGTCTTTAATCTGTTGGTAGCTAATTGAAGGTGTAACTGACAGGTGTTTTGCTCTGGAGCAACTTCCCCAGTACACCCACTTCACTCAGTCATCATAGCGGAAATCTCTCTGGGTGCAGATTTTTCATGTTCTGAGCTCTAAAGGTTTCAGATCTCCATCCCTTTCTAAGCTGGACCTCAGACTTCCCCCTGGAGGACTGCTGCCCGCTGACAGAAGAAGCATCATCTTGACATGAGAAAGCTGCAGGTTCAATTCTAGCTTCACATGTCTTAGTGCCCATGGGCAAAGCACTGACCTCAAAGCGGCCCAGAGTGTTTGGGTTAAAAAAGGCTGGTCAGCTTCCTGATTGCAGTATATTTTCAGTGGTGTGGGTCTGGTTCTGCTCTGACCAGGATCATCAGGGGTTCTGGTTCTAGAAACAGTTCCAAAGGTATTACTGATCCTGCAGGCTCAGTGTATCTGTGGTAGATCTTTTAATGCTAGATTCCTCCTGATTCTAAATAATGATTTCATTCTTTCCTAACTTGGTTTTTAGATCCTGAACTCAGAACTGGAGAAACAAAAATGTGAGACTCAGCAGAGTTCTACAGAAGCTGCTGTGAAACACTCCAGAGACCTGAAAGATTTAGGTAAGACGTCAACATTACGGTTTATCCAGTACCAAACCCAGCATCTGTCCTTCTTCTGATCATGATGGTTTAATCCCACACAGAGCGTTCCTATACCACCAAGTTGGTTCTGCAGCACAAAGAGTATGAAGATCTACTGCAGAAGCATGAACAAATGAAGGAGGACTATAACAGGCAGCTGAAGCATGCGGAGGAGAACAAAGCCCAGGCTCTGGTTGAGCTCACGGAGAAGTATGAGGCCAGGCTGCATAACCAGACCCGACTCCTGGCTCAGGTCTGACAGACAAGGAGAAAATAATCCAGCTTCTGGTAAAGCTCAGCTTGTCGGGCCATCTTTGAATTGTTGTGCTTTTATTTACCAAGCGTCAGGAAGAAGCTGAGCAGAAGATCCAGGAGTTTAAAGAAATCCTGAAGCAGGCGGAGAAGGAGGAGCAGAAGAACATCCACACCATCCAAAGCAAGTATGAGAAGCAGCTCCTCCTAGAGAAGGAGGCCAAGGCGAGGCTGAAGGAGGACGGAGGAGTTATGACCCAGAAGGTGACTAAAGATCCAAAACACCTTCTACTGAGCGCTAAAGGGTTAAAGCATCTTTTGCTTTTTGTGGTTACAGATCTACAGTCTCCAGATGCAGATTGATCATGACTCTGAGGAAATGAGCAAAATAAAGAAGGAGCGACAGAGTCTGATAGGATTTATCCGTTCCCTAGAGGGCAACGTTTTGGTCCTGAAGAGACAGATCTCTGAACAGGAGAAGACCATCCAGGACAAGGTGACGGGAGCGAGACCTTTCAGGGGTTCAGCTTCTACAGTTTAATGCATCCAGGATCCCTTTGATGTTTTCCATGAACCCACCGTCATCATTCCTTATTCATTCTTTTAAATCTAGTTCTATGTGTGTGGCAACTTTCTGCTCTTTCTACCTTGGCTTTCTCAGACATCCCAAGTCTCCCAGAAGTTCCGGGAGTTTCCCTGATATCCATAGTTGTTCACGGATGCCCGCTGTCGGATAAATTATCACGGATTTTAGACTCTGGGAGGCGATGTTTTTTAATGCAAGTGAGAGCGAGAAGGCACTGATTAATGCATCATGTGCGGATTAGAACTACTGCTAAATTAAATTAAAGCCATAATTAGAAACAAATTCAAACATATTGATGGATGTTTACAAATTCCAACTAATATATCAGAGTTTCTAGAGTTAAACCCCCCAAGCTACTGTCTAAATCATACAGGACACTGACTAAACTGGATGATACAATATCTCTTCCTATGACTAAATGGGAGGAGGATTTATATGCCAGCTTTGAACAAAACATCTCTTAACATGACTAGAAACCCCAATTTACAATTAATACAATACTGCGCGCTTCATTTGCAGTCTGGACACTGAGGTTAAACATCCTGCGGCTCTGACTGCAGCGCTGAGAGGGACTCCTGCAGGGACGGGAGAACGGGGTTGGGATGGGGGAGGCGCCCCACAGCAGCAGCTGCCGCTGGAGGACAAGAGTAGGAACGATACATGCTTTCACCTAAGAGTCTCCAAAAGTCGCCAGATTTGTCGCTAGTCGCTTTTTTGAAAAATATTCGCTGGAGGGGTCTGAAAAGTCGCTAAATATAGCGACAAAGTCGCTGAGTTGGCAACACTGCTCAGAAAGACAAGACACAGCAAAGCAGGGACAGGCAGGGAGGTGCAGGAGAAGCAGGAAAATGTGACCGCCTCCTTCAAGGGTCCGAACAGAAAAAAAAGAAAAAATCCTATGTCACAATAACAGATTGCAGTGGAGCGTCGTTTGGGGGTGGAGGGCCTAGAGAGCAATACGCCGGTTCAGTGTTTATGTCGAGCTCGTCTTGGGACAGCTCCAAGCCCTCATTTAGCAACTTCTCCACAAAGTCACCCATTGATGGCGAGTCCCGTCCTGCTGACTCGAGAACGTCATAAACGTGTACGGCTCTCTAGGTCCATTAGTTTATCCTCCATCCTTATCTGTAGCTTTATTATTTCAGTGATGGCGTCCTCCGTGATTAGAATCCCCGCTTTTTCAATCCGACCCTCCGCCTCATCTAGTCTGGCGCTCATCTTCATTTGTATTTCTTCTTTAATTTCTCCCAAGCGCATTATTTTCCTGTCGGAAGCCTCTTAATTCCTTCAACACCATCTCCCATTCAGCCATGTTACTACTCTTGCTTGCTTAGCTCAAATCAATCGGAGCAGCCATACTTCTTCACAGCAGAGGTTTGAGATACATAGCAGTTAGCATTAGCCGAAATGTTAGCAATATTTTCTCGGCTTCAATCATTAATTAATGAT